GAGGCTTAAACATACAATGAATGGTTGCAGGAACTGGGCATGGCTAGTCTAGATAAGAGAAGGACCAGGGGAGACATGAGAACAGTCTTCCAATATTTGAGGAGCTGCCACAGAGAGGAGGGGGTCAAGCTATTTTCCAAGGTACCCGAAGGCCAGACAATGAACAATGGATGGAAACTGAACAAGAAGAGATTCAACCTGGAAATAAGCAGAAATTTTCTGACAGTGAGAAGAATCAACCCATGGAATAGGAGTTGCCTTCAGAAGTTGTGGGAGCTTCATCACTGGAGGCTTTCAAGAAGAGACTGGACTGCTATCAGTCAGAAATGGTGTAGGGTCTCCTGCTTGGGGGGGGACTAGATGACCACTAAGGTCCCTTCCAACTTTGTTCTTCTGTTCTGCTCTTCTAGGTTATTCCACATTTTAGATGTATCAGCCTTGAAGCAACATGGCTCTGAATCAACATGAATTATCTAGCTGGTTATTGTTGATCTCTTCAGAGATGTCTGAATGGGACGAGAGAAGTACATGAAGGGAGACTTCTCAACTGGCATAATATAACAGGATGCAAGAGCATATGTGTTCTGTGATGATGTCACCCCGTGTGTGTTGTGCACGTTATTATTGTATCGCTGTGGCTTCATTCTGCATTTATATTTTACTTCATTGTCTATTTATGACAGCATAAAAAGCCGAAACTACATCTCGGGAATAAAAGGGTGAACAAGATGAAACATCCCCACGTTTAAGAATTCAGACAGCAGTTTCGAACACTTAGAATGCTAAGAATGAAAGGATTGCAGGATGTTATATATATATATTCTTCCCTTTTCACTCGAGGGAAAGAAAACATGAAAAGAGAATATTTTTTTAGAGAGATATACATAAGGTACTATGGCGAATTGTTGATTCAAGATGATAGCAGGCATCCGTGTATAAACAGTCAGTCTCACAAAGAAGGAAGAAGTAAAGGAACAGATCGAAACAAATGCATGAGGCATAAAACTGTTTTTAACTACAACCTCAAATGGGGAAGAATGCTAAACACTTTGCAAACTTCATTCAATATAAACAAACAAACAAACAGACATTAGTCAGTAATTCAAAAGGTTGTGTGATAATATCAGAAAAACGAAATGCACAGGTACAGTATAGGTGGTACCTTGCTCAATAGTAGTGACTGTGAGAGGGATCTTGAAGTCCTAGTGGACAACCATTTAAATAGGAGCCAGCCGTGTGCAGCA